AAGTCAGGTACTTGTGTATCTCCTTAGAGAACTGTTGGAATATTTTGTACCCAACTACACTATTTTTAATGACATAGTATAGTGAGGTGGACCTTCAGTGATGGGAAGGTAGAAACCAGAAGGTCAAGGAGGAGATAGGAGTGAGAAGGGAGTCAGGGACTTGAGGGAGGTGGTGGAGAGAAAAAGACACCAGTCCACTGGTGATTCTTCTTGGAGATTTTATTGGCCCCTCTGGAGCCCTGGCTTGGCTCTCTTCACCCCCTGTTCTCATCCAAGACCTGAACTACAGACAGAAGGAGAATCTGGCCCTTCATTACCTCATCCATGCCCTTTGGCCCTGCTCATCCCAGGCGTGATCTACACTAGTCCTGCTGTTCAGCTCTCTGTCTTCCCACCCTCGCATCTTCTCTAAAGCACTTCTTGTCACCGCCAGCAGCTCTTGGCTCTGAGTGTCTAAATGCCTCTCTCGTGATTTACACATTGCTCTTCCTCCTCCAACTGGTTTCCCTTCGTTGGTTAGGAAAGCCAAGTGTTGTCCCCTTTATACGAATGCGTCCTTCAGTCCCCAGTCCAATTATGCACTTACTAGTCACTTAAACATTCAAGTGTACCTACCTTCCCAATATCATTATGGAAATAAACAACTTTCAAAAATTATTACTCAAGAATTAGGTTTTATAGGAATATGTTCCAAAATTAGTTGAATTCAGGGTTGTTTTTGTTTGTTTGTTTGTTTTTCTATAATGGTATAAATGCTCAATTTGTGTCCCTCAAGGCACATGACACATTTCAGTCCTATAGGCTTATAATTTACACCTCAAGTCATCACAAACCCTTTCTTGCATATTGTTGCTGTTGGTTGAAATGGCAGCCACAATGTTTCCCTCATCTCCCCCAGGCTATGAGGAGGAGGTGAGACAGATATGCAGTTCTTGACTTATCCCCACTAGAAGCCACAGGGAGTGACATCTGGGGATTTGGGACCACAGTTCCAGAGGCAGATTAATGCTTTGAACCGAGCATTCACTGAGCACTGTGGAAGGTGTCCTTTCAATGACCTCTGGACCCCATGATTGACCTAAAGTAGAGCCCATCCTGCTTGAAAATGGAATTGCCAGAACCTTCCTGCAGCTGTGGACAAAGCCACTCAGGTACCATGTCCAGAGATGCGACCCCATCACTGTGTTCTATGCAAAAAATGGGGGGACCATATACAGTTTAGTGCATAATACATGTTCATAAATCGTCTGCTTACTAAGTAGTGCAATTTTGAACGTTTCAATACTTTCTGAACCACTGTGTATATCACAGAAGGCTGCCTTTTTTTTTTTTTTTTTCCAATTTTGGCCCAAGCGTGTGGCTGCATGTTTCTCTTTCAGTGGGTGCTCCCTAGGGCAAGACTGGGTCTGTGGGGTTTCCTCTGAACAGCGTCATCCTGTGCTGGGGCTTGAAGGACTAGGCACTTAGTCTTAAGCTTTTGACAGGTGGTGTTGGCAGTGACAAGAAGTGCTTTAGAGAAGATGTGAGGGTGGGAAGAGGGAGAGCTGAACAGCAGGACAGGTGATGACAAAAGCCTGTATTCCTCATTCTCATCTGCCAGCCCCACCCAAGGAGGCAGAAAGACAAGACAAATCCTCTTGAAGCAGATTTTCCATGGGCTCAGGTGTCAGGGGTTCCCTCCTGCCTGCTGCCACGCTGGGACAAGTGCAGAGCAGATTAACCCCTGGGCCTTAGACCAAAGAGGCTGGGCTCAGCAACCTGCTGGGGAGGAGGCAGCTGTCACTGGAGTTACTCACACCGCTTGCTTCAGTTTCTCTCACATAGTTGCCTGAACTATCACCGTTGGCTCTAATCTTATTATGAAGGTCTAGCCTCCCCCACCCTGCTACAGTAGGAAAATGTAACTTCCTTGGGCTCTTCCATGGAACGTGATTCAGGGTCACTAGGGAGATTGCATCTGAGAAGTCAATTCTCTAACCATCCAGTGTGTCCTCACCACCTGTGAACACAACCCATTCCTGGATGCCAAAGCAGAGGCCGGACTTCAGAGGAGGAAAGAAGTACAGCTTAGCTCAGGGGAGCCGTCTAACATGGATCAAGAAACATGGAGCACCTCCTCACACCCAGAGAAAGATATATTGATCAAGAGCAAATGAATCAAGTACAAGGTTGACCTTTAAGGGTGATGGGCCTAGGAAAGAGGGGAATCAGAAAGGGATCTGCCCTTTCCTCCAAACCTCCTTCACTGTTGTAGGAGCCCTCATCATCTCTCACCACCCTCTCAACGGACCTCACTCATGCTCAGGGTCACCGGAATTGGATCCCAGGGCACCATTCCTGGGTAGGTGGTAATGGGAATTTTGAAAAAAAGTATATATTTATATATAATATATCATATATAATATGTATATTAGAGAATGTCTTACAAATCTATCAATATGAGAAAAATCTTACATCAGAAAATTGAATATGATACTTTATATTGCTAGTGCTGCCTGGCGTGCATGCCAAACTTTGGATTAGATAATATGATGGGCCAAATGGTTGAATGTAAAATTCCTAATACAATTAAATTACATATTTCATTCAGAGGTGAGTCCACCCCCACCTTGGAAATAGACACAATCAGTACTAAAGGAGTTGCTGACCTGGTCATCTGTGCTGGTTGATGGCTTGCCCCTGTGCGCACAATCCAGAGGACAGACGAGGACCGGGCAGAGGATGGTGCGGGGGAGCCTGACTCCAGAGGAGGGGAGGAACAGCCTGCTGGGCTCCCACCAAGGACTCTGATCCTCCCTCCAACTACCCACCACTGTTATCTTCCAGCAACGTGGGCAAGGCATTGCCTAGGCATCCACCTATTCATAGCTCCTAGGTCCTTACTAACATTGCTTTTGTTTTCTTCCACCCCACCCCCTCACATCACACATCACACACACACACACACACACACACACACACACACACACACGCAGCTGCACCTGTGTTCCAGTTCTTGAAGCTTCTGGTGGATACCTGAATACACCAACTTTTTCACACTTCCATTATGGTAATATTAGCTCACCTTCACTGAGCACCTGTGTGCAGGCACTGCTAAGTCCTTTTTATTAATTATGTCCCATAATCCTCACAACACTGAGAGGCAGGTAACTCTTTCCACCCCCAGTTAAATTCTGTAAAAATTAGTAATTTGCATATAGACACATTGGAGCCTGAGCACTATGTCTCCAGAGGCTGGCACATTTTTTCTTGAAAAGGCCAAATAGTAAATGTTTTAGGTTTTATGAGCCATACACTCTGTTACAATGACCCAACTCCACCATCATAGTGTCAAAGCAGCCATGGACCTAGACATGGGTTAAGACCCTGAGCAAATGCACGCTGCTCTCACCAGACCTTCCATACTTCCTTCTCTCCTGACATCATCTGTGCCAAACCTAAAGCCTCTATCTGAAGGAAAGTAGTGTGGATCAGAACATGGTGCCATGAGAAGGAAAATTTGTTTCCCAGAACTTGGTGACAGCACTTTTCTTGGTCAACTATTGTGCAACCAGGGTGGAGGGAGGGGAGCTGCTTCTGTTGCCTTGAGAAGGTATCTCTTTCCAGCCAGACGCTGAGTTAGCACCTCCTTTGGGCAGGAAATGCCCTGCCCTCCTGGATGCTGTGTTCCTAAAAACATTGGAGAGATGGGACTGCTTACAAAATAGTGCCAGGGGCTTTCCTCAGATCATCCTATGTGCGGGTTTGTTAATGGTCAACCAGACGTTCTCAAGAACAACATGCCTCCAATTGCTTGCACAGCTCCTCACACTCAGCTCTTAATGTCTAAACTGGAAAAAATGAACCTCATTCTCCTCTAAACCAAACACCACACTCAGCTGACAGCTTTCTCTCCTCTGAGAAGATATATAGAGATTTAAGATGTCAAGGGCTGAAATTAGAAACATACACTTGGAATTTACCTGCGACATCATTACACTTGTAAGGGCGCATTTTTATGATCTACTGCTTTACATGGCCCTCACTTTTCTCTACACACCCATTCAGATGTCTGATTCTTGAGTCCCCAGAAATATTAAAACCTGTGGGGATCGAAATTCAGTGAATTTCTCAATGATTTTTAGCCTACTCATTTTAGATTCTTCAAGTTAAGCTGTAAGTGAACATTCCTAAATAGCAGAGAAATTGCTGTCTAGGATCCCAGTGGGGAAAAGTGGACAATCATCAATTCAGTGGAAAAGCACACTTTGGGGTGGGAGGTACGGGCATGGAGAGAAACCCGTGCAGAAAGCAAGACTCTGGGTAGAGGGGCCTTGGGTGATGGCTCTGTCCTCTCAGGGCACGAACAGTTGGGAGCTTTATCAGACAGGACAGAGAGCAGGTGTGCTCTCGCACGTTGAAAACTCAACCCTTTTGTCCTTCATGCCTTTCAAAGGAAGGTTTTAACCCCAAAGATGCCCCCATTCCCACAGTTCGGCTACCAGGAACAACATGCAGGAGGTCCTTAAGGGCAGCTTCAAATGTGGTGGAAAAAACCCACTGCAGGCCACTTCTTGCTCAGGGCATTGAGCAAATGCCTATAAGCCCTCAGAGACAGTTCCACCCTGATGGGAAGGGTGGTGCTAGTGTAGGAGAAAACCAGTGTGGGAAGGGGACCCACAGAGGAGCCTCTGAGTAAGCAGAAGGAGAAGACGATTACCACAGATCAGTGCCTGGTCTCCTTTGTTTGAGAACATGACTAACTCATGACTTCAGTGAATTCACATTCAGCCTTATTGTGTGCAGATCAGGACGAGCCTGGAGGGCAGGAGAATTTCTCTGTGAATAAAGGAAGCCAAATATGCAATCTTCATGTTTCATACATTTCTAGGTGCTGGGGGTGACCTCACTATTTGTAAAGCCCAACCCTTTCCAATCTGCAAACTCACCTTCCAGGACTGAGCCCAGCCCATTTTCACCATATATAAACTGCTGTGGGGAACTCATCACCCACACCTGCTTCTCTCAGCTACCCTCCAGCCTCTCGCGCCTTCTTCAGCCTCCTCACCTTCAGGAACCATGACCAGCAAATCCACCAGGAGGACCCAAAGCAGCAGCCACCGTGGCTTCAGTGCCAGCTCAGCCAGAGTCCCTGGGGTCAGCCGCTCTGGCTTCAGCAGTGTCTCTGTGTCCCGCTCCAGGGGCAGTGGTGGCCTCGGTGGGGTGTGTGGAGGAGCTGGCTTCGGCAGCCGGAGCCTCTATGGCCTGGGGGGCTCCAAAAGGATCTCCATCGGAGGCGGAAGCTGTGCCATCGGTGGCGGATATGGTGGCAGAGTCGGAGGTGGCTTTGGCTTTGGAGGTGGAGCCGGGAGTGGATTTGGTTTTGGCGGTGCAGCTGGTAGTGGCTTTGGGCTCGGTGGTGGAGCTGGCTTTGCTGGTGGCTATGGGGGCGCTGGCTTCCCTGTGTGCCCCCCTGGAGGCATCCAAGAGGTCACGATCAACCAGAGTCTCCTCACTCCTCTGAACCTGCAAATCGACCCCACCATCCAGCGGGTGCGGACCGAGGAGCGGGAGCAGATCAAGACCCTCAACAACAAGTTTGCCTCCTTCATCGACAAGGTGAGCCGGGAGGATCTGCCCTCCAGTGGGGATTCAGAGTTCCCAGAACAGGGGACCAAGGACTGTCTACCAGGGGGCGCATAGGGGAGAGGGGAAAGGGCACTCAGACTAGCTCCCCCTGGGATGCCAGATTAGCTCCATGTTGACCGCAGGCAGAGGAAATGGAAATCACTGAGAACTGCCGAATCTCTTATCCAGCTCTCAATCCTGCCTGAAAGAATTCTCAATTTTTGAAAACCATGGAACAAAGAAAAAGCAATGAGAAAATGAAATGAGTTAGCTTTACCTTCTGAGGAATCTAAGACATTAAAAATAAAATTCTGGTGGAAAATTGCTCTAGGGCTCTGGGCAAGAGGAAAAAGAGTGACAGAAAAATAAAATTAAAAATATTTCTGCATGGATTAGGTAAAAAAAAAAGACTCAGAAACACTTACATTTGTAGAAACAGGTAGTGACCATCGAGGTAGTTGGTTTGAGAAGAATTGTACACTACATAAAAGTTATAATAGAATCTAATTGTAATAAAATTTGAATTTAATCATCAGATTCTAAACATTCAACAGTCCTTTAACTGAGGCGTTGTCTAAGAAAAGCTTTGTGCAGTGTATCAGGGAAAGACTGTTTCAAACGAGATGTGTGGTTGCACTTGTGAACAGAAGGAGAAGACATGTTGAAGGGCACTGAGAGCTCCATAACATAGAGGGTGAGCGCATCTCAGGGTCCAGGGGAATGGTCACTGGTGCCATCTGCCAGGTGGGACGAAGAGCAGGCCTGTCGGCATCAACCCCTGTACCTGCGCAGTAGCAGCCCAGCACCATGGTGACCACCCAGGTCTATGGAGGGACCCACAACTCAATCTCTTCCTCCCTTCGTCAAGCTAACAACCAACTTGTGTCCATGTAGGTGCGCTTCCTGGAGCAGCAGAACAAGGTCCTGGACACCAAGTGGACCCTGCTGCAGGAGCAGGGCACCAAGACCGTGAGGCAGAACCTGGAGCCTCTGTTCGAGCAGTACATCAACAACCTCAGGAGACAGCTGGACAGCATCGTCGGCGAGAGAGGCCGCCTGGACTCGGAGCTCAGGGGCATGCAGGACATGGTGGAGGACTTCAAGAACAAGTGAGTTAATCGATAGAATATGGTTCCAGCTTCTGAAGCTACACTCCAAGACTATTGAGTGTTCAGGTCCCGACGTGGTCATGATTCCGGAGCAAAACATGTCCATGAAAACGAAATTCATACATGCTGCCTAACATCCAGCCTGAAAGAAGAAAAGGGCCATATAGCTGAATAGGGAGAGTGAAAGGGAAGCAGGTTAGGGACTACAAAAATCACCTTTGAGGCTTCCTGGCAAGAAAGCTGAATTTGGATACATCCATTATGGACAGTTCGGACTCCAGGCTGCCTTTCCTGTGTCATCTTCACCCCTGACTTACGCTTTTCTCATTCTAGATATGAAGATGAAATCAACAAGCGCACCGCCGCAGAGAATGAGTTTGTGACTCTGAAGAAGGTGAGCCGATGAGGACCAGGGGTTCATGTTTCTTTGCAGAAAGAGAAAACTCTGGACCCCTCCCCACATCTGAAAGGAGAAGAGGTGGGGAGGGCTGAACGATGGGCAGATGGGGAAGGAGCCCCTAGCTGACTCCAGGTTGCTCGTTTATTCTCCAGGATGTGGATGCTGCCTACATGAATAAGGTTGAACTACAAGCCAAGGCAGATGCTCTCATAGATGAGATCAACTTCATAAGAGCCTTCTATGACGCAGTAAGCATCCCCACCCTCCTTTTATTTACTCTATGGGGCTCTGCAAAAGGGTGAAAGATCTTAGAGTTGGGAAGTCTGTAAATATTACGAGAGAAATTGACCTGACAATCTTTTGTTCTGCAGGAACTGGCTCAGATGCAAACCCACATCTCAGACACTTCTGTGGTCCTGTCCATGGACAACAATCGTGACCTGGACCTGGACAGCATCATCGCTGAAGTCAAGGCTCAATATGAGGAGATTGCTCAGAGGAGCCGGACAGAGGCCGAGTCCTGGTACCAGAGCAAGGTGAGCAGTGAGTGGACAGCTGGTGAGGAATTCCTGTGCTCAGTCCCCAAACACCAGCCAGGCTACCAGACTTCAGAGGGAAAATGCACGTCTAGGTCACTGGTGTCCTCTCACAGAATGTGTACCCTGAACTAATAGAGTAGATACTACAGAATTTACCGGCAATTCTGGTAAGTCAAAGAAACCCAAGCAGGAGAAAATCTAATGTAGATAAGGACCTGGTGATCTATGCTTTTGCTTCACCCTAATGCCGGTTCTCAGGAAATGAGTGCAGGGCACTGCTGGGTTCGAAGAGAAGTAGAAAGGCAGTGGTTTCGTAGCAAGTTTGGCCTGAGATTAATTTATCACATCCAATTACCTAGTAGCTTTAGTATTTCCTAAAATCTCTTTTGGAGAAGCCATTAGCTTTAATTTATTAAAAGCCTGACTCAGTGTTACAGTCCCTGTTAACATTGGGAACCTGTATGCATCTCCTCCTCTCCCTCTTTGCTACAGTATGAGGAGCTGCAGGTCACAGCTGGCAGACACGGGGACGACCTGCGCAACACCAAGCAGGAGATTGCTGAGATCAACCGCATGATCCAGAGGTTGAGGTCTGAGATCGACCATGTCAAGAAACAGGTATGGTGGGGAGTAATGAAAATTAAAGCACCATTTTCTTGTTAGTCCACCATGTGGTCATCAACCAGCATTTGTGAAATTCCCGGGAATTGTGGGGACAGCAGGGAGAGGAGACCATGCAGTTTCTACCCTAAGGGAGCCCCCACAGGAAGGAGGGATGGATCGCAACCCAAAAGCATGATACAAACAGGTGAACACAACCAGTTTCCCTGTCAGAACTATAACAATTAGTCTAGAGGCACTGAACAGAGACGGCATAGGGACAGCTGATTTGGGATTGCAGGAAACTGGGAAAGAATAGGTAGGCCTGAAAGTGAGGAAGATTGGTGCAAATCTGCTCAAGGTTCTAGCTGAAGAAAAGACAGTCAAGCTGATACGGGACAAAGACCAGTGCCACTTACAGATGTGAGATGGAAGAAACTCATCACCTCAATGAGAATGTTTGTAATTTATACAAGTTAGTGTGGCTACCACATGAGATTATCAAACGTTGTCCAGATTCAAAACAAGCTAGTGGGTCCATTTCTTCCACTGTCCCCTGGTCTATGTCTGCTGTAGTGGCTTCCAGCAATCCGCCTCCATCATCATGCATGGTGGTTAACACCAAGGGACACAAGTTTCTCAAAGTACACATAGACTAGATAAGGTTTGCAGAATGGACAAAGGCTGGACAGAAAGGGTCCAAGCCCCTTTTCCATGCCATCTGGGCTCTGGATCTCTCCCCCCTGGGAAAAGGAACCACGGTTAGTGTCCTCTGGAGGACTCGATGACAAGTTCATTCTGCCTGTCTCCTGCTCTAGTGCGCCAACCTGCAGGCTGCCATTGCCGACGCTGAGCAGCGCGGGGAGATGGCCCTCAAGGATGCCAAGAATAAGCTGGCTGAGCTGGAAGAAGCTCTGCAGAAGGCCAAGCAGGATATGGCCCGGCTCCTGAAGGACTACCAGGAGCTGATGAATGTCAAGCTGGCCCTGGACGTGGAGATCGCCACCTACAGGAAGCTGCTGGAAGGCGAGGAGTGCAGGTGGGTCACTCACAAGCTCCTCTATCATCTGAGTGCTTCTCCATGATGTGCAGCCAGTGAGCACCAGTTTAAAGCACTCTGGTGATGCCGTGATTGCTGCTCTCAGAGAACCATCTGAAGGGCACTTTCCCCATGGATTGTCCTTACGTGGAGCTTCCCACACTGATCCAGCGGTGGTTCTCTGAGGTCTCATGGTCCCTGTGTTTCCTCCCTCCTAGGCTGAGCGGAGAAGGCGTTGGACAAGTCAACATCTGTAAGTATCTTTGCTTGCCTCCCTCCCTCACTCTTGAATTCTTCTGACTGCACTCAGGCTGGCAGAAAGAGCTCACCATGCCTGTGTGTCCTCGTCCCCTCCCCTCCACAGCTGTGGTGCAGTCCACCGTCTCCGGTGGTTATGGCAGTGCCGGCGGTGTCTGCAGTGGCTTAGGCCTGGGCGGAGGCAGCGGCTACTCCTACGGCGGTGGTCACAGCCTTGGAGGTGGCTTCAGTTCCAGCAGTGGCAGAGGCTTTGGGGGTGGCCTCAGCTCTTCTGGGGTCAGCGGTTCCACCGTCAAATACACCACCACCTCATCCTCCAGCAGGAAGAGCTACAGGCACTGAAGTCCTTCTGGCTCTCGGTTCCATATTGCCTCAGGCCCCTGTCCAGCGGCATGGTCCTCTCTTCAGGTTGCTTTTCTTCTCTGGCTCCCTATGTCTTTTAGTTTGAGTTAGAAGTAAAGTCGCTGAGTGTCCTCATTTCTTTTCTCTGCATATACATGCCCACCTGAGCCTTCGTTGCTCACCATCAGAAGGTTACTGCTAGGGTCTGACTCTAGAACCAAGCAACTTCCTTTTGCTTTCCACTGGCCCAGGGATTCCCCACCTTCCAAGTGTGGGTTTCTTCCTGGCGGTGGTCATGAAAGCACGTGTGACTTTCTTACTATGTACCGTCTGTACCCCTGCTATGTTTTCTCTGGTCTGTGTTCACTTGTATTGCTAAATAAAGCAGATGTGTATTATAATGCATGTTTCATATTGCCTTGATTTGTCTCCAGTGGTCTTTGAGCTGTTTCATCAGAGAAATTTCTTTTCATGAATGAGGAGACTCCCAATTCCCATGTGCTTCACTCCCCTTCTCTAAAGAACTTCAGGAAACAGCAGTTTGGCACCGTTGTGTTCAGAATTCCTCCCAGATCCGATTCCATCTGAATATTTGGCATGTGGAGTGTTAGAGATCTGGTCCATCATCATTGTTAAGTCTCTTTTACACCCTGTATCTGGTCCTAGCATCTTAGTCTCTCTGACTTAGTGTCTAAGACCCCACCTCCTCTGCCCCAGTAGTCACCCACAGGCTCAGAGAAACATACTACTGTCCAATTAGAGCCAAAGAGCATTGACAATAAAATAAGATATTTAATTTATACTTACCACTGCCTTTATGACCAATAAATTTGCCTGATAATGTATATATCAAAAGCAATTAAAACATGTACACTCCTGAGCTGGTATTATACGTCTGGAGATGTATCCTGAGGGAACAGTTCAAATGCAGGAAGTTGCGCATCATAGATGTGCATCCCAATAAGCTTCACAACGGAAAAAATTGTAAACCCTTGTGCTGGTCAAATTATGGCTCCAATGACTCAGATGCTGATATCTTGAAGTATGAAGGCAAAACAAGAATGATAATTTCCACCTGCTTACATGGTCAACCTATCACAGAAACTCAAAAAAATTAAGTCCTTTTTCCTCCAAAGATGGTCCCACAACCTCTCAGGTCTGCCTAGGCCTGCTTTGACTTCTATGAATAGGTAATGGAAAACTTAGATGCAGCGCAACAGCGGTCTGTCAACTTTTTCTTTCTGAGGACCAGTCACTGTTTCCAGTTTATTTTTTCCATGTCCCTAATCCTCAGGTTCTCACACCACAAGAGAAATTTTCTTGGCTTGGCTAATTTATAGAGGGTGTTCCTGATTCCTGCTGCATCAGATTCTTGCTGTGTTCACCTCTAATCATTCCTCCAGCAACATGGGGGACCTCTGATTTGTCACCTCTTCACTTTCTGCTCAGAATTTCCCCAACAGCAGGTGTGTGATAACTGGCTTCTGGAGTCTAAGCTCACTCGCCACCCAGGAGGAATAATGGAAAGTAAAATAACTAACAATGAGAAGTATCTAGCATATTGAAATATACAAAAAAGAGGCCTAAAAACAGTGTATGTATATGGACATTTAAATTAAAATCTTATGGTGTATGGATGTTAAAACTATAATAAAGGAAAACTACAAACAACTCTATGTGACAAATTTGATAACTTATATAAAATGGGCCAAATCTTTTAAAGATACAAAACTCACACAAGGAGAAATAGATCATCAGAATAATCCTATATCTATAGAAGAAATTGAATAAATAATATATAACCTTCCAAAAGAGAAAGCACTAGGCCAAAATATCTTCATTGGTTAATTCTACAAACATTTAAGAAAGAAATGGTACCAATTTTTTACAATCTCTTCTAGAAAACAGAAGCAGAAGAGAACGTTCTAACTCATTCTCAGGCCAGCATTACTTTAAAACCCAAACTAGATAAAGATATTTCAAGAAAGGAAAACTGTAGTCCAATACCTCTTATGAACATAGATATAAAAATGCCCAACAAAATATGTATTATCAATTGAATCCTATAATGTATAAAAAGAAGTAGATCTCACAACCAAGTGAGATTTATTTTGTATATGCAAGGCTGGTTCAACATTCAAAATCAATCAGTGCAATCCACCATAGCAAAAGGCTAAAGAAGAAAAATTATTTGATTATATTGATAAATGCAGAAAATGTATGCTACAAAATCCAATACTGTTCATGATTTTTTAAAATATCAGCAAACAGCCGGCCAGTGTGGCTCAGTGGTTGAACATCGACCCATGCACCAAGAGGTCACCAGTTCAATTTCTGGTCAGGGTACACACCCAGGTTGTGGGCTGGATCCCCACTGAGGGGTGTGCAGGAGGCGGCCAATCAATGGTCTCTCTCATCGATGTTTCCATCTCTTTCTCCCTTTCCCTTCCTCTCTCTCTAAAGTCAATAAAGAAAAAAAAATTTTTTTTAAAGTATCAGCAAACAAGGAATAGAGGGCAACTTCCTCATCCTAATAAAGAACATACAAAAAATCCTGCAGCTAATATCACACTTTCTAGTGGAGCCTGAACCCTATCCTGCTGAGCTCGAGAAGACAAGTGTGTGTTCTCTCTGCACTTTTATTCAACGTTGCACTGGATGTTCTAACTAGTACAATAATATGAGAGAAAGAAACAAATGCTATATAGGTTAGAAATGAAGAAATAAAACTGTATTTATTCTCAGAGGACATGATAGCCTTATGTAGAAAATCTGAAAGACATAAAAAACTGCCTGAAACTGATAATCCAACACAGTAGTTCCCCCTTATCCACAGGGATACATTCTAAAACCTGCAGTGGATGTCTGAAACCATTGAGAGTCCCAAACCTATATATACTGTTTCATTCCGAGGCACATATGCCTCTTCACTTAAAGGAAGCACTTTATGGCTACGCTTTGTCATAGCTGAATTGCCAGAATCACTACTCTTGGGTTTTGAGGCCTTTATAAGTGAAATAAGGGTTACTTGAGCACAAACACTGTGATATTGTGACAGTTGATCTAATAATTGAGGCAGCTAGTAAGTGACTAATGGGCCAGTAGTGTATACAGTGTACATACACTGAACAAAGGGATGATTCGTGTGCCAGGTGGGGCAGAGTGGAACAGCACAGTATTTCATCAGCCTACTCAGAACAGAATGCAATTTAAAATTTATGAATTGTTTATTTCTGGACTTCTTCATTTAATAGTTTTGGACTATGGTTCATCGTCCGTAACAAACTGTGGAAAGTGAAACCATAGGTAAGGGGGGACTACTGTATAGCAAAGTAGCAGGACAAAAATTATTGTAGAAAAGTTCATTTCTTATATATCAGCAATGAAGAACTGAAAATTTAAATTTAAATTTTATATTTTTTATACAGTATTAAATACCTAGGCATAAATATAGCAAAATATACAGAGAATCTTTATATCATAAATTATAAAATACTGATGAAGAAAATTGAAGATGTAAACATATGAAGAGATATTACCTATTCATGGATTGGAAGACTCACTATCATTAAAATATCAGTTCTTCCCGACTTGGTATACAGATTCAACATCACCTCAACTGAAAAAATTCCAGCAATCTCTTTTGCTGGTTTTAAAGATTCAAGTTGATTCGAAAGTTTATATGGAAAGGCAAAGACCTTCACAAGGTTAAATAGGTGAAGCACAGGAGGATTATTTGGGGGGAGGGTGATAATTCTCTTCTGTATGATACTGTAATGGTGAATTCACAACATTATGCATTTGTAAAAACTATAGAATTTTGCAGCACATTGTGAACCTCAATGTCAGAAAGTTTTAAAAGTAATAACCTATGAGGTTAAGAAATTCCAGGATGGAATGCAGAATGTGAAGAAAAGAATTTTTCTGTATTACAAATGTATAAAACAAGCTCACTGAAAGGGGTGGGGAATAAAAAGGAGTGAAATCTGCAAGACTAAAGGCCCAAAGTAACTGTAACATGAATACTGCATTCTAGTTGATAAAGTTCTTTCCACTGCAGATATGGCTTAATAATTCTGATACCACTACATCACACACACACACACACACACACACACACACACGGATTGAAAAATTAAATAAATGAATGGCAGATGGTTGGAGCAAGGTTTATCACTGTTGGTGCTTGAGGTTACAGATAGGCAGAGGAGAACACTACAATTATTCTTTTGGTAATGAATTAGAGTTGGTGACACCAGCACGAATTTGTATTTAGTTTAATATAAACACAGATGGTTGCATACAGTAATATTTATAGATATGTGCATATAAAGGGGCTAAAATATACACACATTTTTTTTCTCTATCACCTAATGGTGCCTAGACATAATGACACACCAATAGCAATGAGCACATCTAGCACCCAGATCTTGGTTTTGAAAACAATTAGTGTGATGGTTAATTTTATGTGTCATCTTGACTGGGCTACAAGGTACCCAGATATTTAGTCAAAAATTATTCTGGGTTTTTCTGTGAGAATGTATTTAGATGAAATTAACATCTAAATTGATAGACCGAATAAAGTAGATTGCCCACCATAATATAGGTGGGCTTCAAAGAATTAGTTGAAGACCTAAATAGGACAAAAAGCTGACCCTCCACTAAATAAGAGAGAATTTTCTTGCCAAATTATTTTCTAACTAGGACACTGGCACTTCCTTGTTCTGCGACATCAGTTCTACAGATATTAGACCTGCCATCCTCCAAAAATCACGATCCAATTTCTTATAATATATATGAGAAATTATATATAACATATGATAATATATACTTTATAATATATATGTGTGTGTTAATTTACATTAAAAAGTCCCTCTTACTTAGACATGCATGGAAATATTTATAAGTGAAATGACTTGATGTCTGGATTTCCTACAAAATGCTTCAACAAAAGAAGTAGAAGATTCAGATATAAAAAGCAGCGGAATTAGCCCTGGCCAGTTTGGCTCAGCGGTTAGAGTGTCGGCCTGCAGTCCAGAGAGACCCAGGTTCGGTTCCTGCTAAGGGCACGTACCTCGG